TGAAAAGAATGAAACAATAGAAAGAATCAATGAAATCAGGAGCTGTCTTTGAGAACATAAACAAAATAGATGAACCTCCAGCCAGACTTATCAAGAAAAAAAGAGAAAGACTACACACATAAACAGAATCAGAAATGAGAAAGGAAAAATCACTACGGATACCACAGAAATACAAAAATTTGTTAGAGAATATTTTGAAAAATTATATGCTAACAAATTGCATAACCAAAAAGAAATGGACAACTTTCTAGAAAAATACAACCTTCCAAGACTGATCCAGGAAGAAACAGAAAATCTAAACAGACCAATTACCAGCAATGAAATTGAACTATTAATCAAAAAACTACCTTGAAAAAAATCCCCTGGACCAGATGACTTCACTGCTGGATTTTATCCAAATTTAGAGAAAACCTAATACCCATCCTCCTTAAAGTTTTCCAAAATGTAGAAGAGAAGGGAATACTTCCAAACTCATTCTATAAGGCCAGCAATCACTCTAATACCAAAACCACAAAAAGACACAATAAAAAAAGAAAATTATAGACAAATATCCCTGATGAACACAGATGCAAAATTGTCAAAAAAAATATGAGCAAACAGGGAAACAAAAGCAAAAATGAACAAGTGGGACTATATCAAACTAAAAAGCTTCTGTACATCAAAGGACACCATCAGCAGAACAAAAAGACATCCTACAGCATGGGAGAATATATTCACAAATGACATATCCAATAAGGGGTTGACATCCAAATTATATAAAAACTCACATGTCTCAACACCCAAAAAGCAAATAACCTAATTAAAAAATGGGCAGAGGAGCTGAACAGACACTTCTCCAAATAAAAAATTCAGATAGCTAACAGGCACATGAAAAGATGCTCCACATCGCTAATCATCAGAGAAATGCAAATTAAAACCACAATGAGATATCAAATTCACACCAGTTAGGATGGCCACCATCCAAAACACAAACAACAACCTAAAGCTGGGAGGATTACACTCCCTAATGTCAAACTCTACTAAAAAGCCACAGTAATCAAGATAATTTGGTACTGGCACAAGAACAGACCCATAGATGAGTGGAACAGCATAAGAGAACCCAGATGTAAACCTAAGCATATACGGTCAATTAATATATGATAAAGGAGCCATGGACATACAGTGGGGAAATGACAGCCTCTTCAACAACTGGTGTTGGCAAAACTGGACAGCTACATGTAAGAGAATGAAACTGGATTACTGTCTAACTCCATACTCAAAAGTATACTCAAAATGGATCAAAGACCTGAACGTAAGTCATGAAACCATAAAACTCTTAGAAGGAAACATAGGCAAAGCTCTCTTGAATATAAACATGAGCAATTTTTCATGAACATATCTCCTCAGGCAAGGGAAACAAAAGCAAAAAGGAACAAATGCAACTATATCAAATTTAAAAGCTTCTGTACAGCAAAGGACACCATCAGTAGAAAAAAAAGCATCTTACATTATGAGAGAATATATTCATAAATGACATATCCAATAAGAGGTTAACATCCAAAATATAGAAAGAGCTCACACACCTCAACACCCAAAAAGCAAATAACCTGATTAAAAAATGGGTGGAGGATCTGAACAGACACTTCTCCAAAGAAGAAATTCAGATGGCCAACAGACACATGAAAAGATGCTCCATATAGCTAATCATCAGGGAAATGCAAATTAAAATCACAATGAGGTATCATCTCACACCAGTTAGGATGGCCAACATCCAAAAGACAAGAAACAACAAATGCTGAAAAGGATACAGAGAAAGGAGAACCCTGCTACACTGTTGGTGGGAATGTAAGCTAGTTCAACCATTGTGGAAAGCAATATGGATGTTCCTCAAAAAACGAAAAACAGAAATACCATTTGACCTAGGAATTCCACTCCTACGAATTTACCTTAAGAATGCAGGAGCCCATGTACCCCTATGTTTATCACAGCACTATTTACAATAGCCAAGAAATGGAAGCAATCTAAGTGTCCATCAGTAGATGAATGGATAAAGAAGATGTGGTACATATACACAATGGAATATTATTCAGCCATAAGAAGAAAACAAATCCTACCATTTCCAACAACATGGATGGAGCTACAGGGTATTATGCTCAGTGAAATAAGCCAGGCAGAGAAAGACAAGTACCAAATGATTTCTCTCATTTGTAGAGTATAAAATGAAGCAAACCTGAAGAAACAGAACAGCAGCAGACTCACAGACTCCAAGAAGGGACTAGTGGTTACCAAAGGGAAGGGGGTGCAGAGGGGTGTGGGAAGGCAGGGAGAAGGGGATTAAGAGGCATTATGATTAACACACATAATGTAGGGGGGTCACGGGGAAGGCAGCATAGCACAGAGCAGACAAGTAGTGACTCTATAGCATCTTGCTACACTGATGGACAGTGACTGCAATGGGGTATTTGGAGGCAACTTGATAATATGGGTGAATGTAATAACCACAATGTTGCTCATGTGAAACCTTATAAGATTGTATATCAGTGATACCTTAAAAAAAAAAAGAAGTGTTTAAGCTAGTTCTGAATTACTCTCAGTGGCTATTAAATTAAATTCCCCTTGCTCATCACCTAGTATGCCAATGTTACATGTGAAAAGTTTATAGCTTTTCTGATTGATGATGTGTGGGTATGAGACCATCACCCATTTTCATATGTTAATAGTCCCCCTTAAATAATAAGATGATCCATAACACTGCACTACAGTTACAGTAGATGTAACATTTAAATAGTAGTTTGTTTTCACATGGAAACTGTTACCAAGACAAACCCTCTTGCAGGATGGAATTCCAAGAACATTAAATCATAAAAACTGTTTCGGCAGCTGGTTAAGACTGAGTGTACATAATACAAGACATCTGGTTGTCTGTGCATTTTCAGTTCATTTAAAAAGTATAAACACATTAAAACACTGAAATGTTCGATATATTACAACACTGCTTACTCCCCAAGAGTGTTGAAGTGGCTGGTCTATTCATTGTATTCTTGACTTCTTTACTAGCTAACAGGATCTACTATTTCCATCCCCCTTAACTTTACCAAGATATTTTATCAACAAAGGAAGTGGAGGGAAGAATGTACTCATTTAAGATATAGACTAAACTGCTGGTATGTGCCAGTGACACACAATAGAGGTGGTGCTATTTTTTTAATTATATCAGGAACACATGAGGCACTGAACATACTACAAACACTATGACAAGTAAACAGCAGACTAGTCTCTGTGTTCTCCTTCCCACATTTGACCACATGTATCAGAAACCTAATCACACTGGCTTAACCAAAGTAATGTTAATTTTTTTCATGTAAGAAGAAATCCAAAGAAAAGCCAATAAGTACTAGTGAACAGCTCCATATTATCAATACCCCATATTCCAGGGACACTATTCTTTGCACATGGCCCTGATCATCATAGTGTTCAGATCGCCCACGCACCGCCTGCACATTACCAAGAGGAAGAGAAGGGCAAAGGGCAAGAAGCTGAACGTACATGCTGCACAACTTAATGGCTTCTGCTTACATTATTGCCAGTTAAGTCATGGGGCCACCTTTAGTTCTCAAGATGCTTGAAAAGTAAGTAGGACATAGGCTGGCCCCCCAAACAATATTGGAGATCTGTTAGAAAGAAAAAAAGCTATGCAAATAATTGCATCTGTCACAGAGTTAAACTTACATGAGACATTTTCCCCTTTTCTCTTGCCCACTGGGCATTTCCTCAGTTTTCTCAGTCCTAACTTACAGGCTGCACATCACCAGACCAAGTCCCCACAGGGTTCACTGGCTCTAAGTACACTTATACACAACAGAGTCTAGGAGCCCATTTTCTCACAAATACTTCCTTTCCTTTTTGCATTACAGGCGAATTGCTCATTTCCAACAATATCCCCATTAGACGGAGATTTTATGGTGAGAATCTTAAAATCTACATATTTCAAAAATAATTCCTTAAAAATATGCACTCTCAGCAGGGGTGGTATCACCCCAAGAGAGTGAAAATTGGTTTTTCAGGGGTAAAAACCTTCACAGATATGATTTATAAACATATCTTCAGCATGTCTGGGGTATTCAAATTTAATTAGGAGGCAAGAAGCAATTAAGAAAAAAGTGTCTAAAAGGTCTCCTCAGAAACAATTTTTTTTTTTAAGAAGAGTAACTGTTTTAAAAGTAAAAAGTATTTTGAGTCTTACAGGCATTGCAGGCAACCGTAGTGACAGAAATCCAGTTACAGTAAACAAACACAGGTCTGTTTTTCTTCCATGAGAAGTCCAGGGAATGAAGGGGGTGAGGCACGACCGGTAGTTGATGACTTTGGTTTGGCAGCTCAATGACATTAAAGCAGAGTTTTCTTTGAGTCTCTTGGCTCTCTTGGCTCCTCGTGCCAAGATGGCCACACAATTCACAAGTCCCTGTCCACATACCAGAGAGCAGGAAAGAGCAGTGGCAAGAACAAGAAGATACACCTCCCAGCGGAGTTACGTCCACTTAAAAAGCTTTAGCCAGAAATTTTACTGGAGGACTTCCCCCTACATCTCACTGACCGCATCTAACATCCAAGGAAACGGAAATACAACCTCTCCAAGGCTAGATATAAACTCAGGAAGTAAGGAAGAAGGGGAGAACAAATATTAGTGTACGACTAGCTGCCTTTCCATATATGGATTAGAATCAAATTGCTTCTCTCTTAACCCCTGTACAGAGATCTATCAGACTTCATTACAGAGATTAATCTGATTTTGTGCCTACCATATGCTTAACTTTGCTAAAGAGTTTATTTTCCTCTTAACAACATAAAATTGTTTTGACGATGGACAGTCACAGTCTAAATATTATTAGGCAAGAGAAGGAAGCACTCCTTGGATGTACATGGAGACATACATCAAAGGCCCCACAGTGCTTCAACGTAGTCAATTACAATCTTCAATATACAAATGAGATGAAACAAATCTTGGCTTAGCCAGTACTTACAAGAGTGGAATATCAGTGATTAACTGCATCAAACAGCAGAGCAATTCTTCCAAAAGATCTTCTGAGTCAGAACCTGAGAAGACACATAAAGGTTTTTAGAACTAAGTATAAAATAGAACAGAGCTGTTTAGAAATTCAGTTGCCATTCCTAATAATAAGAACAGTTATTACATCAACTTAGACACTAATGTTGACCTCTGAATAAAATCTAAATCATGAGTAAATTATGACTGTCATCTAAGATAGCAATTTTGAGCATCAGTTATTAGTTATATAGCTTTTAATGCTTGAAGGTATCTTATAACCCCTATAAGTCAGTAGTTTACAAATTTCTTATATTGCACGGTTTGTTCATACCCTTTACTGAAGTCAAATGTACAAAACAGACTTTGTAAAATCAAGCTGCTCTTGCTGCTTTGTTTGAATCAGGAATGCAATACCTGTGTCTCTCCAGTAAATATCTGACCTTACCCTTGGTCTCCCTGATGGGCCTCAAAGCACTTTTTCTGAACCTGTGGGGCTCCACAGATCACAGAATGAAACCACCTCTTGACAGAGTCAAAGGTAAAATAGTTTCCCCAAGTCACAGAATTAGTGGCAAAGGTAGGCTATAAATCACCATTCCACCAGAAATGTTCCTCTGTCCCCAACTGCTCTAAGTGACCTTTTAATTTCCAAAGCTAATCAATATCTTATGTGACTTCTGGCTTTGGACATTACTGGCACCTTCTCCATCATGAAATTCTTCCCTCAGTTCCTATGACACCTTATTTATAGCCTACTTTTTTCTTTATTCATTCCCCATATCCATTGACTTCCTCAGAGTATCTTTCAAATATTGGTGTGTTCCTGAGTCCCCATTGCCTTTCTCCTCACTCCCTATGTTCTCCCTCATCAATCAACACTTATATGTCAGTGACCCCTCTACAGTTTGCCTCTTGGCTTCTCTACTGAACTTCACATCCTTACATTCAATTGCCTACTGGCCAGCTCCACCCAGCTGCATCATCAGTACGCACACTCAACATGTTCAAAACTGAACTTGTCTCTCCTAACACTTCAAATCCACTTATTTCTTCTTTACTCTCCATTTAGGTAAGCATGACAACCCAGACTACTCTGTCTTATTCATATTTTTATAACCAATCTCTAGGTGTTCTCAATTACACAGTCCACCACTCTGTTATTTCCTCTTTTCTTCACTTCCCACAAGCTTTCGTTCAGTATTTCACCATCTCAGCTCAGCTGAACAGTTCACTAAGTTAAAACTCACTCCTGAACTTTTTTAAGCTTTCCTACTAGTATTCCTACTTCCAATTTTACTCCTCTCCAATCCAAAGCCCACACTGCTAACACAGGGAGGGAGCTAACTAAACTCCATCCTCTCATTCTCCTGGCTTAGATCTTTTCAATTGCTTTATGCTGATTACTACATATAAGAAGAAACTTCAAGCACCAAAGTATAGCATGCCAGACCCTTCAAGATGTAGGCCCTGTATTCTTTTTGGCCTTCATCTCCCACATTACTCCTTTCACATATGCCAGCAATACTGGCTACCTGCTACATGCCATCTTAGGCCTCCTCAATAACATTCCCTCTGCCTGGAATGCTCTCCAACAATAAAAACCTGGGGTTTTTTTAAAGCCAATCTTCATCCACGTGAACCACCCTCGATCTTCATTTCCTCCACAAAACCAAATTCTCTTGCCTCACCCTGAATAAAAATAATCATCTACTAAGTGTCTACACCTTGTGCACATGTCTTTCATTGTAAATGTCAGTTTACCTACACCATAATTTCTGTCTACATGTAGGCAGGCCCTACTGGACTCTGCATTTTTTGAGGGTGGTCACTGACAAAGAGCTTCGCACATAACATATACTTAATGTATGTTTGCTGAATTGAACCAGGTGTTGAAGTACAAATTTAGTGGTTATTTACAAGGCATCAAAGCACTTGGAATTGCCAAAAGCAGTTTAGCAATCCTTTTTTTCTAGACCACAACATCACCACATATTCAGAAACTATGAAGAAAATTCCTTCCTGCCTCGCTAAAAATAGAACTGGCACAGTAACCCTCTGAGAGGTGCATGCAAAGCTTGAAGAGAATATTAAGTCACCCTGAACACACCAATCAGTGCTACAAAGAATACACAGCAACAAGCATGTTCGATAACCACATTAAATCTCACTCAACAAGCAGTAGGCTTAGCTCATCTAGTAAAGAATGTAAGATTAAGAAACATGTAACATTTGCCTAAGGCTACATCCCAAGGAAAAGATCTAACTCAAACCCTTTGCATTGCCAAAGCTGTCCAAAATTACCCCAAGTGAGTTAACAACCTATTCCAACAAGCTGATTTGCTGGAATATAATATATACTCAATGCATGTTTGCTGAACTGTTATTCCTTGGCTCATCTTACAGAATGTAGTGACCAGATCCAATCACTCATGGATTCCCTAAAGAACACTGCACACCAAATGAGTTGGCCAGTGTAATGACATACCCCTATTAAGCCAAACAGCCAACATAGCTTTTTAATTACAGAAGGTAAGGGAACAAATGCTCAAGATCCACACATGGTTAGATTTCTCCTTTTGGGATATAAACATATCTAATTTTAAAATCTTGAAATGATGAAAAGGATTCTTTACTCAGTTCCATGTGCCATCCAAAATCATGACCTCAGCCAAGTGTACAGCTTGCATCAATTAAGGAATATATTCACAGCTTTGTTATCAACTTTACAGAATAATGAAAATGATGATAAATACATTTCATACATATAAAATGTAACATTTCAGGGCCAAAGCTCTAATGAAACAAAAGACAAAAATAAGCAATTTCCAGTTGAAATCTCTGAGAGCTTTCATTTACTAAAACAAAAACATTCCTACAGAATGCCATATTCTTATTTCTGGGGATAATTTGGAAGCAAATAACTGCAGATCAAGTGAAGAGAGACAAGATGTGACTGCTTACCAGGTCTGACATTAAACAAATCACTCATATTGTATTATTTTCCAAGTAGCATATATTATCTCTCAGCTTTCACATGAAGCTGAATATCTTCCTTAGTTTCAATAATAAAAGCAAGTAAATATAAACTCACCTGCCAAAAATTATAGTGACACACTAAATGCATATCTCACAGAATGGGAATCTAAAATGCCCTTGAAATGTGCAGGTCAATGACAAAGTAAATTTAAGTTCTTTGCAAAGGGCTTTGCAGAGATTCAGTGTGTTTGTTATGCTGTGAAGTTTTAAACCCAAAGTTTCTCTCTCTTAAAGAGTTTCAGATTGCTTCTTATAGCCCCAGTCTGTTATTTAAGTATTTTAAATCTTAGCTTCTCTGAGATAATATTAATAGCTAATATTTACTGAGTGCTCTACCCTTTGACAGGTGTTATGCTAAGATTTTCAACTTAACCTCACTTTAAACCTGACAATAACTACTAAGAAGTAGGTACGATCATCATCATTGTATCACAAATGAAGGAATTGTGGCTCAGAAAGGTTAGTAACTTACAGTTAGGTGGCAGAGCCTAGATTTGAGCCCAAATCCACACTTCCAAAGGCGAGGGGAAAAATTTTACATGTTATTTTTAAAGACGTGTTTCTATACAAAGTTGGAAAAACTCCAGTCAACCAACCCATGTTTCACTGAAGGCCTTAACTACAAGTCCTGGTCAGTGAGTACTATGAGCCCTGTTAGGAGAGAGATCTGAAATAAAACACAGTAGTTCACACATCAAAGTGATGATGTTATACATTCATCAGCACATACCAGAAGTCCTTGTTCCAAACATCCAATTTAGAAATAAACTCAAACAATGAATAACAATTATTATGAGCATTATGCAGAACAAGGCCGCTGAAATCCAAACCCCTAATCCTTAGGGTTATCTTACTTTAAAGCCCTAACCCCACTTTCTCTGTTTCCCATATGCACTGCCAGATGGACAAGCAAAAATGAGACAAGATGCTATCTGTAGTCCCTTAGAGCTCTAATAATCTATACCTGAAACCAAGTGGCGGTACCTGTTATTTCTTTCTATTCAGTACCCATCCAAAACCACGTGTTAAGATAACACTCTTGTCTCGGCCTTTTGGAGAGAACCAGAGAATAGTAAATAAAATACTATTGTTAATCAAATGCCTTCCATCAGAGTAGGAGGGGAAGGGAAAAGAAAAGAATAAAAAAAAAAAAACTCACTTGAGGAACGAAGTAAAAACAGCACAGATGTGAAACAAAGCAGCAGCCAGAAAAAAGAAACATACAGGTCATTGAAATCAGGTTGACACGTAAATATTAAAACACAAGAGAGCTAATTGTTACTGATTTCTCTGCATCAGAAAATCAAGATGCCAATTTCTCCATGCTGCCCAACACCATAATGTGCCGAATACAAGTACTAAAAACTTAATCAAGAAATAACAGAAGGGAAAAAAGATGGCATGAGAAGTGAGGCAGAAATCTCCTACCAAAACCACATATTATACAAAAATACAACAAATACAACTAATCCTAAAAAAGTAACCAGAAAGAAGACTGCAACAGACAACTTCCATCTGGGGAAAAGAGAAGACCTCACAGAAAAGGGTAAACTAGCAAAGCCACGATCTGGTGGGACCCAGGCCCTCCCCCAAATTGGAGCTCAATGGTGGGAGAAAGAGAAATGGACCAGGGAGGGAGTGGAAGCCCAGGACTGCTAAATACCCAGCCCCAGAGATCTATTCAGAGAGCATGAATCCACATTATATAGTGCTCTGGTTATTAGAGGGGTTGGAAAGCAAAGACAGGCAGAATACTCAGACAGACTGATCTCACCCACTAATGGACAAAAGGTACCCACAATAGGCTGCTCTGGAAAAAAAGAAAGGTGGGTGCTCTGAAAAACTTTCCAACAGTGATAGGGCTGCTAAAGGGGTAAGGATTATGTAGAGCTTGCTGGGAAAAGGATGAAAGGATGAAATGGTGAAAGGATGGATGGACAAAATCAGCCAGGCACACTCAGCCCAGAAGGGTGGGAACTTTCAGGAGTGTCAGGAGTTCCAACACCATGGC